TTAAATTTCGATCGCGGGCATCCATATTTACTTACTGAGATTTTATCTCACGGTTTTCCTTGTCCACCATTTCAGGTAGTGAGACCCGACGCGTGGGAAGCCCGGGGGAATGACGAGCTAGACGGCTAGGCATTTTTTGGATTTAGTTTTGTAGCTAGGCCGCTAGTCACCCATGCTGACTTAGAAATTTTTGTCTACAGAACTCCCTTAGTTATAGTCATGACTGTATAAATGAAGTTATAAATCCTTGTACATTTTGGTGAGTGAATAGTTAGAAATGAAAGGAAATTAGATATTACCTGAGTTTCTAAATCTGAATTATCTGAATTACTAATATGAACTTAGTAAGTTTTGAGCCTTGTGCATTGTGGGACCCGTTCCTGAGTGCATGGCATCTGTTTTGCTCTCGGTTTGGGGCGTGACAGATTTTGTGGTATCAGAACCTAGGTTTAATTAAGTGCCTAGAATTAGTCTAGAACTTGGCTAGTAAAGAAATGATAGGAACGTGGTGAGGTATGAGAGTGGGGTTGATTAAAGGCACTTGTCTGATTCTTTCTTTAATGTGTGTTGGTTTCTTTTGTTTTGATATTTTTGTGTTGCTTGGTCCCGGAAGTGGAAACTTGCCAGGAAATTTCTTGTTGGAGCATTTGATTAATAGTATATACACCTTTTATGTGGTTATAGATGGCTCCAAAACGGCGTGGGCGCCCAAGGGCTAGCCGTAAGGATCAGGGCACTCCTCCGATCCCAGCTGCTAGTCCCTCTACCCAAGCTGCTCCGCAGGAGGGAGGGATGAGCAATCCTTAAGTGGCCACCTTTGTTCAGGAACTTATGGCAGAGATAAGACGCCAAGCATCTCCTGCCACAAGTGTGCCACCTCCATCCCCAGTGGTTTCCACTCCTATGGCCCTTGCTCCAATTTCTTCTGCTCCTGCGGTGTCTAGCTGGAAGATCTATACAGAATTCTAGAAGTTGGTGATCGAGAGATTTGATGGTATCGTGGGTTTTGAGCAGGTGGGGTTGTGGATTACCGAGGTGGAGCGGGGATTTCGCCTATTGAAGATTGATAACGACCTTAAGGTCGATGTAGGCAGTTATATACTTACTGGGAAAGCATTAACTTGGTGGGAGAGTTATGTGAAGCTACACCAAGGAGAGCCTGAATTGAGCACCTGGGATAGTTTCAAGAAGGTGTTCATGCAAGAGTACATACCAGATAGCAAAAGGCAGGAACTGCAAAGGGAATTTGTAGATTTAAAGCAAGGGTTAGGTACTGTTGAGCAGTACAAGGAGGAGTTTGACCGCTATCTGCCTTTTGTGGGTAGCCAAGTTGGCGATGAGCAAGCCAAGGTTGACAAATTTTTGTGGGGCTTGAATTCCAACATTTATTTGGCGGTAAACCAATTTAAATCCACCACTTATAGAGAGGCTGTGGACAGAGCCATAGATCAGGAGAAGGCTATGGCTAGAGTCACGTCCTTAGGACAGCCTAGTGTCGAGTCATCCCTGGGGAAAAGAAAATTTGATGGGAGCCGTCAGTCCCTTTTCCTTGCACTGCCTAAGTCTGAGATCAACAAGGGTTCTAAATGGTCAAGAGCCACCAAGATTGTGAGCCAGGCATCAATGGCCCAATGTGCTTGTCCTACTTAACTTATTTGCCATGTTTGTGGGAAAGTGGGGCACACCTGGGATCAATGCCGCACTGTTACTGGGGCTTGCTTCAAATGTGGCCAGCAGGGACATCGGATTGCAAATTGTCCACTGCTAGACCCCAAAGCTCAGAGTACTCAATCTACCTCTCCGCAGAGTTTGCCTGTTAACTCTGATTATGCACATGTTTTATTTGATTCGGGTGCATCGCACTCCTTTATTGCTCGATCTTATGTTCTGAAACGAGCTTTGCCTGTTGATACCTCTGATTGTGAACTGCATGTGGACACCCCTTTAGGAGGGGTGATGACTACTAGGGAGGTGTTTAGGACTGTGGATATTTGTGTTGATGGAAGACAGTTGAGTGCTAGTCTGTTTGTTTTAGATATCTCCGATTTTGATATTATTTTGGGGATGGATTGGCTGTCAAAATATTTTGCCTCTATAGACTGTCATCGGAAATGGGTAATTTTTAATATCCCTGGTGAGCCAGAATTTAGTTTCCAAGGCAGTGGTCCTTTTGCTCCACCCGTGTTAATATCTGCCTTGTAGTCTCAGAAATATCTTGTAAATGGTTGCCAAGGTTTCCTAGTCTCCGTTACTGATGCTAGTAGTGTGACATCGAGACTAGAAGACATACCGATGGTGCATGAGTTTCCGGATGTATTTCTGAAGGATCTCCCAAGTCTACCTCCGGATAGAGAGGTTGAATTTGCTATTGACCTTGTTCTTGGCACCGGACCTATTTCCAAAGCACCATACCGTATGGCTCCTGCAGAATTGAAGGAGTTAAAGGTCTAACTGGAGGAACTCCTTCAAAAAGGGTTTATACACCCTAGTGTGTCACCTTGGGGAGCTACAGTGTTGTTCGTCAAGAAGAAGGATGGGAGCATGAGGCTATGCATTGATTATTGGGAATTGAATAAGGTGACTGTGAAGAACCGGTATCCCCTTCCTAGAATTGATGACTTGTTTGACCATCTTAAAGGTGCTCAGGTATTTTCTAAGATTGATCTTCGATCTGGCTACCACCAGTTGAAGATTAAACTGAATGATGTGCCAAAGACTGCCTTCCGCACCCGTTATGGTCATTATGAATTCATAGTCATGCCATTTGGCTTGACAAATGCCCCTGCCAGATTTATGGATTTGATGAATCGGGTGTTTAGCAAGTACCTAGATCAGTTTGTGGTTGTCTTCTTTGACGACATTTTGATCTACTCTTCTAGCTGCACTCTTCATGAAAAGCACTTAAGAACAATTCTCGAGACACTGAGAAGTGAGAGGCTGTTTGCTAAATTCAAGAAGTGTGAATTTTGGCTAGACAATGTTGCATTCCTAGGTCACGTTGTGACTAAGGATGGAATCTCTGTTGACCCCCAGAAGATTGAGGCCGTGGTTGATTGGAAAAGGCCAAATAGTGTTGCAGAAATCCGTAGTTTTCTAGGATTGGCTGGTTATTACCGCCGATTTGTGGGGGATTTCTCTAGAATTGCTCTGCCAATGACTCGTCTTATCAGGAAAGACACCAAGTTTGAGTGGACTCTAGAGTGTGAGAAGAGCTTTTTGACCTTGAAAGAGAAGTTGGTCACTGCTACTGTACTTGCACTTCCAATTAATGGGGAAAGATTCACTATATATAGTGATGCCTCTAAAAAGGGTTTGGGATGTGTCTTGATGCAAAAAGATAGGGTTATTGCATATGCTTCCCGACAATTAAAGCCTTATGAAGAAAATTACCCTACCCATGATCTGGAGTTGGCAACCGTGATATTTGCACTAAAGTCTGGAGGCATTATCTATACGGTGAGACTTGTGAAATCTTCACCGATCACAAGAGCCTTAAGTACATTTTCACTCAAAAGGAGCTTAATATGAGGCAAAGGCGATGGCTTGAACTGTTAAAGGACTACGACTTGACCATTAGCTACCATCCGAGCAAAGCTAACAAAGTAGCAGATGTGTTGAGTAAGAAGTCCTCTAGCACTGCCTCTAGCATCCTTGCCACTTAGAAGGAGTTACTTGAGGATCTTGTGAAACTGGATGTGGAGTTAAGAGTGGGCAGTACTACGGCTTATCTAGTTGCTTTTAGTGCACAACCAACCTTAATAGATATAATTAAACTTGGCCAACAAAAAGATCCCTTCTTGCATAAGATGAAGGAAAAAGTAAGAGTCGAGGAACCCCACATGCAAGAATTTAGAATTTCTTGTGATGAGACTCTGTGGTTTGGTGACAGGCTGTGTGTACCAAGAGATCATGCTTTAAGGCGTGAGATTATGGGAGATGCTTATTATACTAGCTATACAATTCACCCAGGTAACACCAAGATGTATCGCGATTTGCGTAGTACATTTTGGTGGCGGAACATGAAGAGGGAGATAGCTAGATTTGTCTCACAATGCCTGACTTGTCAAAAAGTCAAGGCCGAACACGAGAGACTTCTTGGGAAACTGCAACCTTTACCTATTCCCTAGTGGAAATGGGAAAACATCACCATGGATTTTGTGACCGGGTTACCACGTACCTTAAAGGGTAATGATTCCATCTCGGTCATCGTTGATCGATTGACCAAATCAGCTCACTTCTTACCCTACCAGACTGGCACCTCCATTGAGAAGCTTGCCAATATGTACATGGAGGAGATAGTCAAACTGCATGGAGTCCTTGTATCTATTGTGTTAGATAGAGATACCAGATTTTTATCTCATTTCTAGACAAGCTTACAGTAGGCACTCGGTACTCAATTAAATTTCAATACAACCTTCCACCCTCAAACTGATGGGCAATCTAAAAGAACTATTCAGATACTTGAGGACATGTTGAGGGCTTGTGTTCTAGATTGGAAGGGTTCGTGGAATCAACACTTATCCATGGCTGAGTTTGCATATAATAACAATTATCAATTGAGCATCCGCATGGCACTGTTTGAGGCTTTGCATGGTCGAAGGTGTAGATCACCTGTTTGTTGGACGGAAGTGGGCGAAAGGAGCATTTTAGGCCCAGAATTGGTGCAGCAATCTTTTGAGATTGTGCAATTGATCAAGGAATGCCTTTGTACTGCGCAAAGCAGGTAGAAAAGCTATGCGGATAGAAGGAGACGATACCTTGAGTTTGAAGTTGGTGATTAGGTATTTTTGAAGGTGTCACCCACTCGAGGTGTCCTCAGGTTTGGCATCCGGGGAAAATTGAGTCCGAGGTATATTGGACCATATCCTATCTTGGAAAGGATTGGCGAGGTAACTTATAAATTGGAGTTGCTTGGAAATCTAGTGGGTGTTCATGATGTGTTTCATGTGTCCTTACTTCGAAAGTATGTTCTTGACCTTAGTCACATCATTAATCCCGAACCAATTCAACTCCGGGAGGATCTCACTTATGACAAGCACCCGATCCGCATTTTAGATTTCAAGGAGAGAATAATGCGGAGAAGGACCATTCGTTTTATTAAGGTCCTCTGGGACAACCATTCGGTTGAAGAAGCTACTTGGGAGTTGGAATCCAAGATGAGGCAGGAACATCCGCACCTCTTCCAAGATTGAGGTATGAGTTTAGAGGACTAAACTCCTTTTTAGGAGGGGTGGATGTAATACCCCAAAAAAATTTCAAGCACATTAAGTTGAGTTAGGGACCTAATGGTGAGGAAACATTATTAATGGACCTAACAGTCAATTTTTCAAACCTTAAAGGGGTCAAAAGGTTTTTGGATAAGGCCGGCTGACTCATTTCTTATTTTTCTTATTTTTCCTTCTTTCTTTCTTCCCTAGCCACTTCGCGTGTTTGCTCTGTTCTTTCTTCCTCTGCAGCCGAACATGAACCCAGCCATTTCCAGCGCCTCCACCTGAAAATTGGTAAGAGAACTTGATAATTTTTGTTCTCCTCTTGCTCAAGAACCAGTCTAGGACTTAGAAATCTTCTCCTTTGCAGAAAAGCCACAAGATCTGCTGTCTTCTCCTCCTCTGCCACCTGCTGCTATTGGGCTGAACTCTGGTTTTTCCTGGTAAAATCAGCCATGAAATTCATCTATTCTCTCTTAATTTGGCTTGGGCTCACCCTAATCTTGTTGCTCTTCCAATTTCTAGCAAACCCGTGGAAGCTCCCCTGCATTTTTCCCGTCAGCTCCTCCCATACCCGCCAGCTCCAGCTTTGCTTGCTCAGGATTTCTGGTAAGTTGGCTCCTCTAATCTCC